ACGACGTCCCAATAGAGCAGCAAAGTTTAACAAACAGTAGAATAACCACTGGAAACTGGGGCTTAGATTTGTAGAAAAATGTTAATAAAACACAATTTCAAACCAACAAAAATAAAAAACATTTCGCATTGTTCGGTTATTTGCAAATCCATATCGGACCCCATAAAACATAATGGAAATTCGTTTCACGACGGACAATTTGTATTTCTTTATTCATTCACGAAGACGGCAAATTGGTCCTATTGTTGTTGCCAGCATTGTATTTCTGACTTGTCCGACCTGATACATTAACATAACAATCATTGAATTGTGGGAACGCATTTAATTGACCGATATCGCCTGCTCTGACACCATTTACTGCTGATGGATGGAATCCAAACGATTAATTGCTGTTAAATACGACTGTTCCAAATATTTATTGGGATTTGTAGCATAACAACTTAATTGTGAATCAAAGAACTCGATTGAGAACAAACAACATTGTTATACGAAAAATCGTTTATAGAAGACGGCCAAAAAGTGCTCGTGACGATTTCACCCAAAAATGCCCTAGTACCACGTGACTATTTAAGTACCATTCCAATTCTTCATGAAACCATGATTTTTTCGGATTACAATCTATTATTTTGAAAAAATACGATCGCGCTGCATCAAATGATATTTATAAGATCGTCACATGGGTACAAAATATTCCTACCCAAAAAGTATCAATAATGGCCCAAGTTTCGGAGTAGTAGTATTTTTGGAATTTTGGGTACGTTTTCCAATCGAATTTGTTCTAATTTGACATTTGGGTTCTCATTAGGTGTCCAATCTTCCTACAAAAGCTTATCGATATCTATCCGCCATTTGGTATAGCCCCCATAAAATTGTACCGACAATTTTTGACAATTCGAGGATTTCGGTATATACATGGTCCTAGCCCAAATTTCCAATAGCCTGTAGTTTGATATTTCATTTTCTCTTGGCAGTAATTTACCATGACATAATACCCATATAAAAGTCCCAATGGATTGTAAGTATTTGACTGTGCACCTCATGGTTTAGACTATACAAAGTTAAACTTAACGACGTTTTTACGTAATTTTATTCATATTTTTTAACAAGTTATGATTTCAAAACAATCTACACTCTTTTAAATAAAATTTGCATGCAAATTTTAATTTAATTATTGCATGTATTCCAGTAATAAAAAATATAATAAGATACAAGTTGTAAGAAAAATACCTATGTCCATGAAGACATAAAAAACTTAGCAAAAGAAAAAAACTCAAAAAACCTTTAAAACCTTTAAGAAAATAAAATACACATACAATACAAAAACAAATTGCATTTACAGATTTAAAAATAAATTATTCAAAAGAAAGTTTGATTGTTTTTTGTCTCTCCTGGAAAATTGTTTTTACTCGTTAAGCCAGAGATATTTGTAAATTTAGTCGTAAATATTACAAAAAACGTGCGTAAAACCTTTCAGAATTTTTGAAAGAAATGTTATGCCATGTACAGACGAGCGTTGTTCGCTCTCTCATTCGTTGTTCGACCCTTAATTATGAAGTAATTACTTAGTTCCCCATACACAATTTTCTGAGCGAACACCGATTTTTGTACGTTATTCAATTCGAATCACTCTCTGAATAACCAAGAAATTTGTCCCATCCCTAAGAATTGAGAGCATTTATCGAAAATAAATTAATTTTGACAGCTTGAAAATATTTATAAAATTTTCAAACTTTTTTAGTAAAATTGAAAATGATGAATGAAAAGTAAAAAATTGTCTAGTTTTTATATATGCAGCAGGATGTACATTTTGTTATCTACATAATGCAATATGGATTTCTTTCCTCTTGGTTCTAATTAGCGTACAAAACAAGAAACAAATTTTGGGGAAACTCAAACAAAAAATTCTTCAAATTTTTATATGTGACATTTGAATTTAGAAAATATAAAAATGGATGATAACAACAATATTTTTAGAAAAAATGGAAATGATGAATTAAACGTATATAGATATGGGTCATTATAGTCAAAAAGAGAATTAATTTTTCTATTTAGATCTATATGTGATTCATGCAAATATGTTAGAATTTTGGTGTAAAACAAGAAACAAAAAGTTTGAAATAAAAAAATCTGATGACATGAATTAAGAATAGTGTTGTATGAACGGGTTAATTCATGTACGTAATTCTGAGAGCGAACTACGTTGTTCGAATGCCCGTCAGAACATGGCATTAGTTTAATGGCGATTGCAACCCAATTTTGTGAAAAATCTAAATATTTTCTGTTATCGAAAAATTATAAAAATTAAAAAAATGAATAGCAACCTGTTTAAATTCAAATATGAAGCACAGCACAATGAATGCTTACATTGTAAATAATAACAAATAAAAACGTTTTCGGCGAAAGTATGCGTACCAGAAACAGTGACGTAAATGGCATACATTTCCACATACCATTAGGTTTGCGACAATCGAATTATTTCTATAAGTGAATATTAAAATTATATATCCTTTAATGAAGTCCAAAAAGTAATTTTCAAAATGTTCTATTTTTTGTCAGGATTAGTATATTATATATATATTCTTACAAATAACCGTATATGTCGAAAATATTGAAATAAATGACGCTTACTACATTCATTACATTTTATACAGAAATAAGACGTTTCGACATTTCGATTCAATTCGTCACACGTACCATACATGATGTGTACTAAAAATTTGTTGATGTTTAAATATTGTTTTGAATGTAAACTGTTAAGAATAGATGATTTTTCGGAGTGTTTTTCCCAGAAGCCATAATAAAATACTCTCTATTATTATTATTATTAATTTTTATTCATTTCAAAGCCAAGCCAAAAAAAGCCTTATATGGCCATACTACTACAAATAAACTTAGATCGGGCCCCCCGATCTATATTCGGGATATTTTTAGCGTTTCCTTTATTCAGATTGCTCTTCCCAAAATTCATTGATATCTTATATAATTTTAGAACAATGTCAATAAATTATCGAACATGTTTCACATAATTTTCCCGGCAATTAAGTGGCAAAGACACGAAATGTCAACCTAAATTGGGGGAAGAGAATGTCATTGGCATACATGGTGATTGAAGAACAATCTGTAAATTTCTCACTCGTCAGTCTGAAGCAATTGGACGCAAACAAAAATTCACGGCACCATTCGAGGAAACCCATATGACCCATATATATATATATATATATATAACAATATGATACTACATATTTCCGACATTTCCGCCATCAATAGTTCCGATAATATATTGAATTAGATCGTACAGCTCGATTGTCTGAAACACATAAACCAAGGGTAACTTCCACAATTTGTATTGTCTGTATTTAGTAACAGTAACAATGACAATTAGATCTATTCGGGAACAGTGCCGCACAGTTGACACATACATATCTACAAACCTCAATTTGATGGCTAAATATATTTCGATTCTCATCTCTTTAATGAGTAATTCGATTTTGAAAACAATCTCAAGAACATTTTATGGTCAATGTATTTAATTTCATTCAGGCCAAGGCTTCAGAATACAAACACAAGTGTGGCTATAATCAATTTCAAATCGAGAGACATTTGTCATAAAATTGTCATCATTCCCAAATACTGACTAGGAGATTCGCTCTGTTCTTTGTTTTACACGAAATTAATGTGGTACCGCATAGCTTCGCAGCGAAGATAGGCCGTTTATTTTTATACACACCCACCCGTCCCCATTAAGGTCATACAGAAGCGTTATTTACTTTATGGAATGTTGAAGTTGCTCACAAACACCAATAGTGACAGAGTTCTAATTCATTTGGAAATTGTTTATGCGTTGTCCAAATGATCTAATATTGAGTGTACGTACTGTGCGGTAGTGGGAGAGTAAGGAGACACACGTCCGCGCTAATCCAAGTCGCGACATTTGTTCAAATCCTTTCACAAATAAAATTATATTTTCTACAAAGCCCCCTTTAATCAATGCCGAAAAAAATAACCTGAGGAGTGGGCGCTCGAGTTCCTCCATTGAGGCGCAACTTATTCTGATTACGTCATTGACGTGTTTACATTTCTTAGAACTCGATCGATCAAACTCATGGTGTATATTGGGAAGTGGAAATGCTGTAGAACTCGTTATGAATGGAACAAGGGAAGCATTGATTGGCGCGTATCGCCTCGTTGCTTGGACTGATTAACGCAATCCGATTATCACTCTTACCATTGTGAAAACATCAGTTTTTTTGTATCATTTAACTGAGATTACGACACAATTGTATGTACGTAGTAGAAAAACTATTTTTATATTAATAGGGAAAGTTTTCGACAGCATTCCATTATGTCGTTAGACTCCGTAATGGAATACAGTCGCTTATAACGACCAATTTCGGCAGTTGTTATAAGCGATTTCAACGACATATGTAAACAGTGGAGGTCATCTAAAAAGCACGCCATATAAAGGCAAAACATTTGACCATCCCTGGATTCGTTTGAAGTATTTTTTTAATTTTTTTTTAAATATAAATTCCTAACCCTAGAATTGGGGATTTAGTGTGAAGACAGAAAATTATTACAGATAATTTGTCTTAAATGACTGTTTTGTATACAGTCGAAATCGGATAAGCGAACACCGATTTATCATTGCTTTAAAAATGTTTTTTTTTAATGATCGCACATTTTCTATAGAGTTTAATTTATTAATACGTTTCCCATAGAATCCACGGAAATCTTGGGTCAAATGCAACCATGGAATTCTGGTAATTTCAATTTTAAGAGGCATATCTGATGCATGTGTGGAATTTTTCTCAAATAATCATGTAAAAAATAAGCAAGTTCGGTCGGGCCGAACTTCTACCATGAGGCTGATATCCTATATATTGATCATGGGAGGCCCCCTCTCAATACAAATTTGTTTATAATTGTAAATGTTTAGTAAAGCAGAGTGTGTTAATAGCTATTGACCACAATTAAAATGTAAATTTGGTTAATGTACATACCCGGCAGGTGATGATCCCTGACTAGCGGACTTCGTACTTCCACTTGTCGTTTGCCTTTGCAGTATATTATGACCGTTGTGCAAAGGAGACGACGTGGGCGTCTTGCAGTCATCGGCATCCTCTTGACTGTCGCTTAGTCTTCTTCTTGGAGAAAGGCATGGCTCTGCAGGCGATTCTCGAGTTACTGGACATTCATTGCTACCAAGGGTTTCCAACATTTGAACTTTCAGCATTTTTGGTTTCAAAGCTTCGTACAGGCTGCTCGCGGCTCTCCGTCTCTCTTAGATTATGACTATTCTTAATTTTTGGTATAACACAAACAACATTTGGTGTTTTAATTTTTTGAAAAGTTTACATTTTTATCATGACTTCGGAACTTTCAACTTCAGCTGGGTTCCGCTAAACTTTCATTTTGTTGTACTTTTTATTTTGTTTCTCTTCTCGTTCTTCCTCCCTTCGATTGGCTCTCCTAAGTAAATGACATTCGTTCCGAGGGCAGATATGACTAAGGTGACCTTTGAAATAGTGGCTTTAAAAACATGTATCGACATGTCTCAAAAACAACAACAACAACAGTAACAACGTAAATAATAAGTAATTACGACTTTCTTTAATCGCTCAACGGTAATAAAAGATTTGTATGTATCACTAAGCAGACACAGTGGCACCATACTGTGTTAGAAATCATAAATTGGAGCTCCATAGCCACAACGTAGCAGAGCAGAGCACCAACATACAACGAACCCCAACCCAATTACATTACATTATAAATGTTTTCGAATTTATTGTGAACACAAAATGGCAAAAATTCAAAAATTGTGCCGGAAGATACAGATGTACACACATGTAGACATTGTTCGTAATGTTTCACAAAAACTGGAAGTGCTGAGCAGCTCAAATTTAAAAAAAAAAAAAAAAAATTAACAGCAAATATTTGTTTTCGTGTTTATTTAATGGGGACCTAACAAGTTATCTTAGTTTCATTTGTAATTGCACTTTAAAAATATCCAAACCACAATAGATTAAAGACATTCATGTCATTTGTTTGTCGGGATGAATTGAATAAATAATAAAGCCGATATAAACAGCGGTACTTTGTTTAATCGGATATATGAATGAATGTATATGTAATCAGCAATTGGATTAAGCAACGCCCCACAATTCCATCCACAACAAGTATGCTAGCATTAAAGAACTGTCACTAATCGTGATATTTTTTTGTCGAAATTTCATATAATTTTTTATTTACACATTTTTGGGTTTATGTCACTTTGCTTTTTGTCTATGGCGGTGAAGTGAAATTGGGTGCTGCTATAATTTGCACACATTGCGATGAAACGTGTATCCAATGTAGCAGACATTCGTCCGCAATTTATGAGCCATGACAACTTAGTTTATATTCGTTTTAGTATACTATTACACAATTGCCCTATAAATCTAATATTTTTTAGCCTCCCTCCCCCATTTCCTTTTCTTCCGCAGGTGTTCTTTGCATCGGTTAATATTATTTTGATTGGCACTGATTCAATTGGTCGGAATTGCTTGTTCACGACTGGACGATTCCAATATGACAAATGTTTATTTTTTTATTTTTTCAGTATGTTGCTTTGCTCATTTAAACGTTTCCGTTGCGATATTAATCCATCAGACTAGTTGGCCGGAAATGTCAAATGCTTTTGAAAATAACATACCGACTGACCTGTTGTATCCCAAAAGCCAAGACATATCTTAAAAAGGATTTTTGGCCTCGTGCGCATTCATAATCACGCAAGTCTTGTCCGTCCAATGCACTATGACCTTATTTGGTAAGAATATTACTAAAAAGATGGTATTGAAAATCATGATACAGATAACAAGAGTGTCCAAAATAGGGCCACAAGAAAAATTCTCGAAAGTAAAGCATTCGAATGTCATACAACATTTCGAAGCATGTGTAAAATGGTGCGATCAGAATAATATTGAAATCGATCGATGAAATCGAGAAAATATGTCACTCGGTATAATGATATTTTCGATTTAGCGATGAGGGCTGACACTATATAAATCGTTTTATAGAGATTCTACTGCACATAATTTGGAATGTACACACAAATTAGTCCTGTGCACATTTTATTAATATGCCATTGGGCAGACAACATTGAATAGAAAGAGTAAACAGTAAAATCTCGTTAATGCGATTGATTGCATACTCCAACTGCCATGTTTTCCTGCTTATCAAGGGGTTTTTAAATTGGTTTAATTTTGTATTTTATTATTTTCGAAAACCTACAAATCGTCACACGGACCATTGTTTTTTTTTTTTTGCATTTTCCTCATTATTCTTCACCGGAAAAAGATGTATTGCAACTGAGAGCATCGTTTAACTGAGAAAATTTTGTTCCATTCTGTTCATACATAAAAAATGGAGCAATTTTATCGTTGTGACTGCTGGGTTCATCCAATGTACTTGGGTACCTTAAATGGTGAAGGTTATAGTCGGTCATCAATTAATCCTATGTACGTGAACATCTGGCACGGTTTTGCTTTTACAAGCACACAAATCTTCCCCAAAATCCCACAGTCTGACCTACGCGACATATGACTGCCATGCTTGCACACACATATTCGGATAACTCGTTGTTGCATCAACTAGCGTTGCCGCCATATTCTCTGGAATATTTTCCTTAGCTTCCAATAAAAATATTTACTCACGTGCACCAAATGTCAGACGCCCAACATACTCAGTGACGAACACAAATTCCGACATCCAACCGCATGTACCGTTAATGTTCACGGTACAACAAAACTATTTTAAGCAAAGACAATAAAATCCAGAAATCATTTTTAGAAAAATGTCTAAACACATTGCATCCTCAAAATGAATTTCTGTTGTTTGCCCAACATTTTTCGGAATAAAAAAGAAATATCGTGACATTGAAAATCTTATTATTTAACAATCCCATTACGAGCGTGCTGATACGATCAATTGCTGCCGCAATGAAGAGAAAGTGTAAAATTAGGCACACTTACTCAGCAACCACACAGACGAAAGATAAGACTAGAGTTGGGAATCCACATAAATGTGAATTAGATATGACGTACGAAAATCAATGTTGTCTCAAGGCGAAATCAATTAGTATTATTTAGTACGTGTGCAATCGTTTTGTCCACCACCACCACTAACCTAATCTAATCAATATTTCATTAAAAAAAAATCGCAGATAACAGCTAACATAAGGCAATGCCGCCGACTACAATGAGGGAATTTGGTTAATTTTAGTTGAGTAGATGTTTACCAGTTGACATGGAACCTTTACGACTAATATTAGGGGTCCACATTTCGATTACTACTAAGCTATCTGATATTGATGAAAAACTAACGATTTTGTCATTCTTGGTCACATATACGAAAGCGAAGTTTGCATCAGACATAGAAGGGCGTTTTAGAATATAATAAATATATATATATATCATCAATATTAACGGGCGAAATTCGAAAAAACTGAAACTGAAGAGCCAAACGACTTCTTAGGCACTATAAGCCATTACACCATAAGCAGTAGATATTAGATTCACCGCCAGTTATCTGGCATAATGGTTATCAACGGAACCGTGGAAAGAGGAATTCAAAATGTTTGCGTTCCACACTGGTTATGTTCCATATGCACCCAAATTTGCCAACGACCGAGCAAAACATTAATAAATATGTATGTACATATTGCTCATTGGCTGCAAGACCGGTATAAATCAAAAATCGTGATTAAAGGCGCAGAATTGTTCGCTATATCTTATGTATCTCTTACACACTCTGGTTGCGAGACTGTAGAATTGTAAGGTTTGAGTCAATTGAAAATTTAAAACGCATTTTCCGCAAAAACATTTTTTGATTTATGTCGGTCTTGCAGCAAATGACGATATTCATGTATAAACAGAAACGGTGAAATTCCCTCAATTGTAATGTCACGCGTGTTTATGTGCATCTCTGCACACACAAACACTCTTGTACACTTTACGTATACGACGTTGGTTGTTGTTGCTACCATCGTTGTTGTTGCCTTATTTAAGAAAGGTCAGTTAGTTTCGTTTGCAATTGAAATGCACGTAGTTATTTTGTAAAACAAATCACGTCTCAAGTTGATTGCGAAACACACGCTCACGACGATCCAACACGGTCGTACAAAATCACTTAATTCTTCCAATGGACTATCATCAACCGACTATTTTCGCAAACGTCACAAACACACTTCTTCACGGGTAAATACGACCTAAACAACAAACTAACAGACTGACAGACAGACAGACCAGTAGGCACTACGTTTCCTGCTGCATTGTCACTATCTGCCGCTTGTCAACAAACAACTGTTTTGTTTCGCCTTGCAATTAGCTTCACCGTTATTTTTACGCACTTTTGCATTTACCTAGCTCTGATTTTTTGACTGACGAACGGCAATCGCTCAACGATACTACCGCCGAGATTTAGCACTTGTTTTCTTTGGCACTTATTCCGACTTTTGTTTCTGTGGAAACAATTTCTTAAACTTTCACACCTTTTTATCTAAAGACGAACGACGCTGGTTCTCATTGAGAATAGAGGCTGCGACTTTTTTAGATGTGTTCTGAATGCTTTCTTTTGCCTTTGTTTATTCCCAATCGCGTGTTTAACCGACCGTCGACCATTGCCGTTAGATTTACCGAATTGAACTAAGGCGAGAAATGAGAATGCGACCGCAAAGTGTAAAGCACAGCCAGTCATCCATCCAACAACTCTCAAATACAGAAAGCATTGCTCACATGCTCAGAGACACCACAGTCAGTCGGGACTGCGGAGAAAATGCCCAGTGCGCTCTTACGCAAACACTACCATACACTCACACATGTTCCACAAATGCACGTCGGCCGGCAAGTTTCGGTGCTACTTATTTTATTATTTGTTTGAGGTTGTAGCGCTACTTGAGGAATGTGAATGAAAAAAAAAGTAAACAACAAGCACGCTCCGCATAATTATCGGCGACAAGATGAAACGTACATAATACTCCCAATCTCTGCATATGGCCGAGAGTTCCGTTGTCGCAGAAGTTATTTGTTTTGGAAGTGGTGCTCTCATTTCAGAAGAGAAGTCGTTGTTGCTACAACCATTATTCCTCGTATGTCTCCACCCCACAAGGCAAACGACTGACTGGAATAGTGGGACGATATGGGCAATATGCGGAAGAATGTTAGTTGGGAAAACAAAACCAACCATACATCCGAATTA